CGATTAGGTGATGTGAAATAAGGTTTTAATTATAATTTACATGGCAATTTTCCTTCAAATTATTCTTAATTCAAATTAATGTAATGATTTTACCCTTTTTCAAATAAGATCCAAGTTCATATCCTTATTTTAGGTTTTGCTTTCTACATTGGCAAGTTACACGACAAAGTATCATAGATATGTACGAGCCTAAAAAAGTCAGCTTAAAAACAGAAACATGAATTCATATTTCCATCACTTTTCGATTCTCTTCTCAAGAGAATGGAATGGATAGGTGCTATGTAGACAAACTAGCATACATGGACATGGACCAAAGACATTATTACTAATTAGAAGGCTAACTTACATTAGAGCTTCTAAAAAGCTTACAGAGAGCAAAATGAAGAATAACAACAACAAAGCACATGTTCATCTGGTTGGACTTGGGAGTTATTAAACAAGAAGTAAGATGCTGAATCAAAGATAAATAAATCTACTTGGCCCTGTCCTTAATCACATCAATTCCCATCTCGGTCGGATCGGTAGCCTGAACTTCATAATGAATGCCATCCAGCACTCTCCTCAGCCCATCTTTAGAGGTTGCATACAGAATTTTTGCTCTAATTCTTGATGCTGTTGGGGACCTGAAATTTCCAACATCAACACCATTCCCTTAGCTTACCTTAAATGATTTGCATATTTTTGTGTGTGAATCAAAATATAATTAGCTAAACACGGTCATTACATTAACAGTTCGTGTCTAATGTAATGACCTGGGCTCAAAATATCTGAGTACATTGACTTGGAGTTGGTATACCACATTAAATAATTCCCATGATACAACAGATTTAGCAGCTCTAATCTTTATTCATAGTTGCTTCATACAAATAACAAAGGCCATCCACGATAATATTTGTTATATGAAAAGTTATGATGGGTTCAATTTCTATACCATTTTATTACTGTTCAAAAAAACAATATCAACCACAAACTCAAAAAAAAAAAAAAAATCTAGATCCAAAACAGACGTCCCAATATTTTGCTGTTTAAATTTTATTAAATTATAAAATATTAATTATTAAATTAGAGAGTGGTACACCCAGGGCCCTCATCAATTTATTGATAGACTTAATACTATTAGTGTATTAAATGGAATGACTCATCTCACCTTCTGTAATCTGAACCCAATTACTCAATCATATGCATACTATTACCAAAAGGACAAAGAAAATAATAATAAATAGAGTTTTGCAGTCCAGACTGCATTAAACAGTAAAACACAGGCGCCACAGACACCCATGAGGCACTTGTCATGAAATAGATAATTGGAGCAATTAATTGGGATATGATTAAAAAGGGTAAAGTGACGAACCATGCGATGAAGAAGATCTTGCTTTTCCGGCAGTTATCGACGGTGACGAAATCGAAATCGAATACAGCGTATCGGCAATCGTCGGTGGGAAGCGATGCGGCTAGATCGTCGTAGCTCTCGCCGGCGCCTCCGACTTTATCGACGGTCACCAGCCTCGACTTCTCATCGATCTTGAACACGATGTACCTGTGCACCTTCTTCCATTTCATCTCCATGAATGAGTTCTTGCACTCATCCGTCACCCACATCCCCGTCGTCGCCTGAAATCATCAAATCACACATTAATTACCCTAAAAAAAACACACACACACACACACACACTAGATCATCTTCAAACGCAGATTCTCAAGAAAAAAATCGAATCGATGAAACTATTAAGAGATTTGATTTACCATCTTGAAAGCCATCGCCATTGTTGCGGCAGAAGAGAATTTTCACTGAAATTTTTCAGTAAGCTCCGCCGTCGCTTTTGAAAGAAATTTGAAAACGAAGGTGACGAGAAGCAAGTAAAGGATTTGGTATCTTTTATAAAGATGGGGTTTGAGAAAATGCCACTTAAGTTGATTGATATTACAACTTTGTCCACGTAATTGCAAAGACTAAATTAGCCCTGGTGGTGTGTCATATTTTGAGATATTAATAGTGAGGGAATTATGATATTTGGAATGTTTTAATAGTGAAGCAATTATGATTATTTGTTGTAATAGAAGTTTTTTTTGAACTTTTATTCATAGCCATACATTCTTTGTCTCTTTCTAGTGATTAATTTTAAGAGTATTGTTTTATATCGGATTACAAAATTAAAATTATTTAATGTAATAATAATAGACTTATTTTTCATTAGTAAATTATATCATCCAGTCTAAAAAATAAATACTTTTTTTGGTTAATTTCATTTCTTAATGAATTGTTGAACCTCATCAAATAATAATAGTTAATATTATTTTTAAAAAATAATATGAGTAGTCAAATTTTTAATCTATTTAGATAAAAATTAATATCACCATCCACAATCTGCATGGAGACAGAAATACTAAGCAGAATGTGCAGTGCAACCACCTTGGATCACACACCCACATGCCCACCACTCTATCTTTGTGTTCCTCAAAAGGAGCAGATGGATTAGGATTCATACCATATCAGATTGCATGAATGAAACCAACAGTGGAACTTTGGAAGCATGGAAGATGTTAAAAAGGTCAAAGGAAAGCAAAGCTTTTCTCGGAATGAATGAATCTATGGATATGTACATCCAATCACAGCAAGTTTGGTTAGGTTCTCTTGCCCACTTGTGTATATCATTGTATGTTCTTTTATTTCAAGATTTAGTATCCCCAGGCTTGAGTTCTTCAATGAAATTGTCCAGGAACAAGGGCTACAACTCAACATAAATTCTTATCACCAATTATAAAATAGTGTTGCAATTTTGCTGATAAAGATGGATCAAAGTGTTCGGATTGAAAACAAACGCAAAAAGCTTGGCAGATACGTTTGTTTGACAAGGAATGGAGGATAGGGGAGACATACCCCTCGTGGAAGGTGGGCCTATTGTAATATGTCAGCCCCACAAGTGGTGTTTTCGTTCTTCCCATTCGTGCATGGGACGTCCAAGTTTGTGTTTGTGCAATGACTGGTTTGTTTTGCCGTTAGTTCCCGGCTTCTTCCTGGTGGAAGTACACATTACACCATTTTGGTGGTGCAGTTTATAATCTGCAAAAAGGAGTTGGGAACCGACGGCTAAGTTGACTCCAGCCACAGGCTCTGCAACAACCATGAAATTACCAAAGCAATTTCTGATTTACGAAGCTAGGGAACCAGATTTCTTCATGTAGAAGGCGACGAAGAGTTGGAGCGTGAGCATTTCTTACATTATTGCAGGAAGCTCCTTAGCATCACCTCATTTCACTTGCATAGCCATCTTTATGGACCTTGGTCCAATCATCTAAAGGCTGCCTAGACCATTAAGAATGCAATCGAACCAACTTAATGTCAATAACATCATTGAATTCAGTTTGTTTAGAAACCAATCAGTCTTGCCCATGATTTTAATCCCCTAAGAATGTCAAACTATGGATTAAGACACATTTAAGTTTAAAGTCCTGATCCTGTCGATTTCGTACAACAGATATTCAGGGGATGACTCAGAGTTACACAGATAAAAACACTTGTTGGGTAGAAACTGTGCCGGCATCGTCCTCTGTAGTGAGGTAGAATTGATTTCTGCAACGAAAGTTTAGTTCAAAGCTTCAGCAGTAGGTTGCATTGAAGCTTTACTTGTCCTCTTTTGGCGGTTCTTCTTCATTCTTCTTATCTTGGGACTAGTTGTCATTGAAAGCAAGAGAAAATAGTCAGTAACTCAACTAATAGGACAGGTGAACACGGTAGCATTCACGGAGTTAATGTGCAATACACTAACAAAACTGTGATTATTGGAGCATAGAAAATAGAAGGCCACATAACTGATGAGCAAGATGATGAACAAATTAGTTTTAGGAAACACACCTCAGATTGATCAGGCAGAGAGGCTAATAAATCTTTCACTTGAGGATCATTTGGGTCAACTCCTGGAAGCTACAAGAGCAATTAACATGTCAATGTTCTGGAAAATTACTTAGAATCTGATTAGTTGCAAAGTTAAATATGCAGGTCGCCAAGTCCAAATAACTTACTGATGAAAGTATAGATGTCATAAAGGACTGATCTCCCAACACCCTACCAATGTCTGACTGTGAACCATTTGTACTGTCCTGCATAGACATTTGAAGAGCTGCATGCAACAATGGCCATCTTAAATTTAGAAAAGAAACAGATTATCAAGGGTTCATATGTGTAAAAAACTCAACCCACATTGCTAGTGACATAAAGGAGGAACTTTCACTGGGCAGGTTTGATTAGGCATTGACAAGCAAGTGTTTAAAATGCAAAAAAATAGAATTAAGTATTTAAAATAATAAGCTAAACTGCTAACTCCAACTATGACCAACTGTTTGGCAAGCACGCATAGCACAAGTAGTGAAAAACAATGATGCCAGTATTTAGGAGCAGTGGAGGCAGGATTCAGATGTTTAACTTTTGTCAACACAACGATGCTGTCAGTACACTACATGAGCCGTAAACCTAAAAGCATAGATACAAATGTTCTAGGCAATAAATGCCACAAGGCTCAAGCCAAAGCTAATACTAACTAGGTGAGCTTTTCTTCAGAGACTTGATAAGTAAAAATGTGATATTTCAATTGTTCTTCTTTTTCTAGAACAGTAGAAGATGGCTGCAAAAAATTTATAGATTAAAGGGTTTAGATCCTTGAACAAATCATATAAATTGTCAATCCATGAGATTCAACAACACCATGATAAAATTACGCTCTTACAAACATCATATGCACATTCCAGTCCGGAGTTTAATATGGATACTGAGGTTGAAAAAATCATGCAAGACAGTATAACAAAAAGAAACCAATAGAATACCAGAACTTACCCAAAGCCAATTCCTGATCCTCCATATTTGCCTCTGACATCTCAGCATCACCGTGAGATGAATCAGATCCAGCAACATCCATTGACATTGCAAGAGCCTGCTTCAGCAACGCATCATCCTCATCCTGTGATCAAATAATTTTGAAAAAGCTAAGTCAAATATGAATGGTGATTTCCAATCGCTGATCTTAACAGAAACAACATCCAGAACAGTATGTATTGACTTCAAGTGACACCACCATTGGATCAGCCACTTTCTCGCTTGCATTAACAATTGCATCCTGTGAACTGGATTGTGGTGCCTCTCCCTTCTCTTGTCTAGCAGCTTCCTCAGCAGCCCTCTTGGCAGCTGCTTCTTGCCTTGCCCTTTCCTCTTCCATGGAAACTCTAAGTGCAAGAGCCAACTCAGGATCAAGGTTGGGATCCACACCAAAATCAAAGTCACCACCAGCTGCAGCTGCTGCTGCTGCCACTGCAGCAAAGCCACTTCCTCCTTCCCCATCACCAGTAAATACAGGTGTGCTGCCAAAGAAATAAAAATTAGCAGATATAACAACTTTTATGGAAACAACTGTAGGCAATGACCCTTTTCTTGATAAATTTCTAATTGAGAAGATCCAGAAAGATTTTGATATATCAAACCTGATAAGGACATCTGAAAGAGCATTTGGACCAGGAGGAACATGAACTATGTGACTACGGTCATTATTGTTAACAGCTGCAAGGAGAGCCTCCAATTTCTCTGGCTTTCCATCATCAGCTTCCCCAAAATCAACAATATCCAGTGCTACGCTATTCTTCTTCAATTTTTTCCCTATCGTCTCCAATGCTTTCTTGTCATATTTGATGGGACTGAAGGCATAAAACATATAAAGTTACATGTGCACAAAAATAAGAAGGCAAGACGAGGTGCCAATTTCATTTACCTTCCAACAAAAACTATAATTCTTTGCTGTTGATTTTTGTTTTGGCGATGTTTGAGAGCCAATTGAGCAACCTGAATTCCAGCCGCTAAGTTTGACTCACCCCCAATTTCAAGGCCTGCACAAAACATTGAAAAGAAAAATGATGGGCACTATATCACTGTCTATCTATGTTGTAATAACAAATTGCTAGGATAACATGACTCCAAAGTAGGCTAGCAGAACCACAGAGTTTGACAGTAATGTCATTAATTGACATTGATGTAATTTTCTGTTCCTTCTTCCACATATCTAATACAAACCTTAAAATCAAACAACTCAAAGTTGTCAGCATTCAGCAAGCATATTGTCAATGCTATAATACTAACACTAGCCTGAGGTTTTCTATTATAATAAAACCTACGTAAACTAAAAATCAGAAATTTAGCACAACGGAAACATGATTTCAGTTACTAACAATGCCAATTAGCCAGAGACTAGTCCATAAAAGCCCCATATAACCTCAAGCCATTGCAACTTGAGTAACCTCATTAATTTATATTTACCTAAAAGTGCCAATGCTATATACAAACAGATAAAATATAAATGAAGAGAAATTTCAAATACCGTGCATGCAATGCAATATCTTGCCAAGATCGGAGGTTGGAGTTGCCAATACCCGCACTCCTTTCCCCGCCATCGTCAAAATCCCAACAGTATTCTCCGGATTAGACTGCCATTAATTCATGAACGCAATACAGAAATCAACCTCACAATCACATCCCCAGAAAAAAAAACCCTAAAACAAGCAAATCTATAATCAAAACACCATCATTCACACGATTATCCGAATAGCAGTACCTGGGTTTTAGCTCCACAGATGAGATTAACAGCGTCGGCTTGAGCTTGCAATCGAGACGGAGAGTAATCGCCGTTCCGCATCCATTCGGAGTTATCAATGCAAATCATAGTCGCCTGGTCGATTAACAGATACAAAACTTCATCAAATTCGACAAAATAAAAAACCCAAATTGCGAAAAAGTAAGGAAATTGAAAGTTTCATGAAATAATAAAAGCGATTCCTTCCTCCATTGCTGACCTCGAGAACCATGGTGCTATGAGTGTTCTTGCCAGAGAAGAAAACTTCACGAAAGAATCTCCGTTGATTGTCTACTGAAGAAATTTATATTGGGGATAAGTTTTTGTTTTTTACGCATAAGCCCCTGTTCTTTTCTATTTATTTCTTATGTGACAATTATTTTATGTTTCATTCGTGTTTAGCCTCGCTTTTACATATTTCTAATTTCTTTATGCTTGGCTTATTCTCATAGGGGCTCTTTGGTTTGAAAATTAACAATTAGCCACTAATCAGACGGGTAAATAATAACTTAAAAAAAGTATTTTACAAGTAAGATTAAAACATTAATAGTGTAATCCAACTCATAAATTTATTAAAATATTTTTAATAAAATTATTTTTAAGTTATTTTATTAATAGTAATTTAGTCATTTTAATAGTCCACCTAATGATTTTATTAAAATATTTTTAATAAAATTTTTTTCTATTATTTTATTAATAATAATTTAATACTTTTAATATTCAAATTACATTTTTAATATGCAATCTAACCTATAAAACTTGAATCCTTAATAATTATCATCTATTCAGATACCACCAAGACTTCATAATATGACCAAGATATAAATATTACTGAAAAAAAAGCCAACAAATTAAATAACTCAATAATAATTTTATTCTATTAAAAGTAATAATTTTAAATTTAAATTGTATAACATGTAATAGGATAAGATGAAAGATGTGAAAAAATTACCTCATATTATGCGATCAAGATATAAAAAAAAAAATTACAGTAAAGAAGTTATTTATGCTGTTGCCTGAAAGGGTGGTGAAGGGTAACTGAGCATTGCCTAAAAAAAATCAATTCTTTATTCAAAATTGTACAATGAAATCAAGGGTATGCAGAATCTAATAACAGGCAGTTACAACTTCACACAGAGAACAAAATGATGGAGTGGCAAACAGATACATTAGAATGAAATGGATATTTATTTATACACTAAGAGTTCTTGAAGAGAAGGATGATCTGAGACTCCTACTGATAGGTAAATGAACATAGACCTCGTGAACGTCTTGCTTATGGACATCTCCTTTGTCCCTGTCTATTGCATAGCAAATATAAACAGTGTCAATCACATTGTCTAATACATGGACGAAGAAAGCTAGCACCACGATCAGCAGCAACCAAGCAAAAACAGCTACAAGGTATGAATCGACCCCGAGACTGCTCACGCTCTTTACAATAGCCCAGACCTGCATGTACACATGCAATTTCATGAAACATAACAGAAAAACTCACCACAAGATAGAGGTATATTTAATTTATAGGTGAAAAGACAAGTTTTTGAGGCCAAAATGAACCACTGGTGCATCGGTTAGGGGAGTAAATCTAGCTTGTTGATAGCAATGATAGCATTTGCATCAAAAACAAGCAGCTCCACCTAGGTACTGGTAATGGCCTCATATGAACCCCATATCATGTTCTTGAATGCAAGATAGATGAATAATAAAGCTAGAAAATCATTGTGATTAAGAACATCGGGATCTGAGTGTATGCTACTTCCATAACAATGTGACATGAGAAACATGCATATGGCTTCCTTGCATTATAAAATCATGACAAAGTAATCATAAAAAAACCTGATCAGAAAACAAGCAGAAACTCAGAAAGAGTACTCACCACAATTGCATATACTGCTGAGAGGACAAAAACAATTCCACCTAACAACCGAGTGGATACAGTCTCCACAAAAACAGCAGAGAGGAGGTTACGCCTCAGAAGCTCATATGTCATCCTTGCAGATGCGCAATAAGCTTCACCAGTTATTGCTGCAAAGTTGATGGTGAACTTGTTAAGAAAATCTATTGCTGACAGAAATGCATTAACACAACACCGTAGTACAAGATTCACTATTCCAGGAGCTTCTTGTCTTGCACTATCAACAGCAGCACGTACTACTCGAACAACACAAATAAGTAGCCCTGATAGGCAGACTGTGCCAGAGGAAGGGCCAAAGGCATTTCTGCAAGAGTTTAAAACAACATAAACATGTCAAAATCATTTCCATTTTCTTCTTTTCTAATAAACAGGTTGATTATGCATCTGATGTTATACAATAATGCCCATCAACTACTTCTACTAATCTCAGAATATCTTAAATATTTTGGGGACTAAGAAACCACGAGGCAAAGTATCTTCTATGAAATTTAAAATTGAAAGGGGAAAAGAGAGAAAGAGAGAGAGAGAGAGAAGAACATTACTCTTTTATAAGAAGAAAGAAGTGGGAAATCAAATACATGGACCATGTTTAGATGCCAGTAACAACGAAAGGTAGAAGTGAGGAAAGAAAAGTGTGAACAATAATAAGGTAAAAGTTACATACAAAAAGTCAAAGCAAACAAACTGTAAAAATACCTTTTTCCAAGAATCAAGCTGAACTTAATAGCTGAAAAGCCAATGTTAACAACTAATCAAAATTGTAGCCTGCAGGTTTGCAAATCAGCTAGGGCTAGACAGAGGCAAGTTAAAAATGCAGGCTAATATGAACCCCCTCTCTCTCAACGCTGTCTTGTGTATACAGTCTTTGAAACATTATAAGTTCGTATTCAGGGACTGTGCAATGTGCACACTAAGCATGTTAGCCCCACTACAGATAATGAGGAATTAACATTCAGCATTTAGCCATCAAATTAACCAGACTCTTAATGGCACACAGCCAGTCCCTTGCTCAAATTCTCAGGTTATATATACACTTCGCAGAACTAGCCTTTGGTAGAAATAAGATAATAACAAGGAGTCAAAAATACACTAATCCCTCAACTTTTCACTAATGATGAATCCCCACTCTAAGAGCCAATAGAAGACCTTAAAGTCTGCCCATCATCCAGTAGCAGGTCATCAAAATCAGGGATATAGAAAGTTGCAGTGTACATAGCAGCAAAACTTGATCAAGTTAAGGATTCATTCCTAGGATATGTCCCAATTGAGGGTTTTCATCTAGAAGCAACGGTTGCAGCTCACAAAGGCCTTGGCCCATCAGAGGCAGCAATCTTTACCCAGACAGGCCTGGGGATTTGGTAATTATAGTGGTGTTTAAATATGTAATGTGAATGATTTAATGATTTCAGCACATGGTGCATTCCATCAATGAATATGGTAGAATAAAGATCACCTGCAACCTGTTCTAGTATCAGACTTCCACATAAGCTTCTTCAAACGAAATTTGCCAATAATAATGAATTATATTATTAAAATTGACATACAATTCATACTAAACTAGCTCAAGAAGTGACTGTTAAGTTAACATAAATCCTTTCTCCCAGCTCAACCTAATCTAAGGCCATGCTTTCCAAGAAATTGTTAGACATCAAATCTTGCTTAGCTCCTATCTTCATAAAATTATAAAAATGATAAAGGTGAGTGTAAATCTATATATTAACAGTATGTGATTATCCTAATATACTTCAGTACAGCAAAACATGAATCAAAATCTATACATATCAACTAAGTTGTTGTACTCCAAAGCCTGAGCCAATTGCCACAACTGTAATATGCAATAACCATCTTGTCTATCTTAACATTATTACATTCACACTCTAAGCATGTTCACAAAGCAACCATAAACAAAATAATAATAAAATAATAAATCCTATAAAGCTCAAATCATCGAAGAAATACCTCAAGGAACTTCGTATGCTCCGCTTAGGAGCAGAATCATCCTTGCAGAAATACCACTGCGCAATGGTTCCACTGATCAGATATACCTGTGCTTCTACCATTGCAGTTAAAGACCACAACATTGTCAAAATTGCTAAGGTATAATATGCTGGCACCCAACTATCTTGTTTCCAGACACATGTGTACTCTCCATCTGATTCTCGTGCCACAATTTTTCCATTCAACCTTGCAAACACTAAGAACACCACGATGGGCGCATAGTAAAGCAGCAAGCCAATTGTCAACAAGGGTAACACCAAAAACAACACCAAATTCCTTGAAAGCGCATCAGATGCTACCCCAATAATATGCACAGTCAACTCAATACGTTGCCAATTGGCTATGAAAATCCAAATAATCACCCCAACAACTAACAACACAAACACAAGCACCAGAATCCTATAAACCAGGGGAAAAGCATCGCTACACGAAGAGCTGACGGTGCATGCAACGAACCAATACACATCTAAGAATATCGGCATGATAACGAAAAACGGAAGAGAGACGTACACAATCTGTTTTGTGTAGTGTTTTAGCAACAAAAGCAAAAGAAAACAAATCGGCGCGGTTAAAATCAAAGTTATCACAAGGGTCCATATCAAAACCTTGAAAAAACCAGAACTCGATGAAGAAAACAGCACAAACCCAAAATCCAAATTGGGACCCGATAAGGAAAAACTCGAGCTTTCAACACAAGAACTAGAACTAGAATTATATGTATAACTGGAAACGTCACCATACTTGGTGTTTCGATTGAAGATGGAGAAAATACCAAACCCAAACGTGCAGAGGACCAAGAAAGCAAAGAGGATGAGGAAAGGAAGGTCCTTGAAGGGTCTAGGACCATAATTGTAGGAGATCTGGAGGAACTGGGTCGAGTCGGGATCTTGGGGGACGATTGAAGTGGGTTCTTCAATAGGGGAAGAAGAGGTGGGGTTGGAAAGGAGGGGCTGTGTTGGGGAAGCGGGATCGTGATGGGAATTGAGTTTGCTGAGGTCTTCTTCAGTGCTGCCCATTGGAGGGAATTCGAAGAGGAAAGAGAGAAGAAATCTGGAAAAAAGAGGAATGGATAAGATTTAGAGCATTGCTGAGTTTTGTTTCTTTAACTGTTCACTGGTTTTAAAGTGTCAATGGGGAGGATTGAAGAAGTTCACTGGAAATATGAATTGGAGAACAAGATGAGCTGGTTCTGTACTTCAATTATTTTTTTATGAGAAATGTGTCGTTTAATACGTACATTTTTTTTTTCTAGGCTCGTACTAATAGACAAATAAACTTTTTTAATTTTACTATTTAAGCTATGTCATTTATTAATAGACTCAATAT